CCTGCACTATATTTTAAAAAACCATTGCCTGAGAACCAATTCTTTTATTTTTTAAGCCTTATTCATATAAAACAAACAAGTTGTTAAACATCCTGTAATGTGATGAGGATGCATATCAAGCATTTTGTTAATGATTTCTGATCTAGATAAAACTTCTAGTAATTTTCAAAACAGGATGTGCTTTTCCAGGAAAAACGACATTATTTCGCTGGTTGTTACTTTTCCTCAATCAGTGACCTAAACTTTTAAAAACAGATACAACTGTCATGTGATCTGGTGAATGAGTGAGTAAGTTGGGTTTAACCCCACCTTGAACAGTATCTCAGTTATATTAATGTGTGAGGAAAGCATGGGTATGGTGAACCGGGATTCAAACCACAATCATATGTTCCTGGCATTGCCAAGGGACGCAACTCTGCATTGTTAATTGCCACGCCTTAGACGACTGGGGCACCTGTGCCCCCACAAGACTATGGAGATAAGTCTCCATTACAGCAGCACTGTAGGGAAATGACACAATGGTGAAATGGCACCACAGTGCACAATGCAGAGTGTGATGACACATCAGCAGTTTTACAGTCATTCAGTCTTAAGATCATCTAATAATGAAAAGTAAGGGTAGTGGCAAATCACATGTTACCATCCCCAATGTACTTTCATTTGCCTAGCTCATGACATGAATAAGGCTTTAAGAGTGCGCTCAGTATGCAGGTTAGGGAATATCATGTGTCCCGTGAAGATCCAGGTTAAAGGCAACTATGCCTGACGTAAGAGGCGACTAACAGGATGAGGTGGTCAGACTTGCTGACTTGGTTGATGCATGTCATTGAATCCCAATTGCGTGGATCGATGCTCATGAAGTCAACTGGATTGTCTGGTCCAGACTTGATTATTTACAGACCGCCGTCATACAGCTGGAATATTGTTGAGTGCAGCATTAAACAACATCAAACAAACAAACGAATATAATGTTTTATTTGTTTGTTATATGATGCCAGTCTCTGCGAAAATCCAGCCATATGACTGCGGTCTGTAAATGTTTAAGTCTGGACCAGACAATCCAGTGATTGACATCAAAAGTATCAATCCACACAATTGGGATTCAATGACAAGCAATTGGGATTCAATGATAGGCAATCAACCAATTAACCAGACCACCCATCCATTTTGCCGCCTCTTATGACAAGCATAGGTTGCCTCGGTGCTGTTTTCTCCTCCGAAATCCCCACCAGTCAGGGGGATATCATGTATGCATTTCCTATCATGCATATGAAGAAAACGAAATATATTTTTTACACTCCCTTTACACTATTTTATATACTCCCTTGAATCATCAGAAGTGCCTTGAACTGTTCAAATGAAATGAAATAAGATGGTTTATGCATGTTGAGCAGTTAAGTATAATTAAGCCAATAACACATTGTACTGTAGGACAAAATTTAATAATTGAATGATGTCGACTATGTAAATGATCACATACACAATACAGTTTTGATCACAGATAAAAAAAAATTGACATATATTTATATATCATTTAATGGAAAACAGCACAACAGATTTGTGACAAGACCTGCCACAGATTACAATATATTCTCCTAGTTCTGTTACCATGGAAACTAGAATATTTGATTTATTCCACAACAAGTTTGGATTGGGATGTAATATATACAAGGATTTGAAGGATGTACACTGCACTCCTACATCAGTTCAAGAAGAGTTGTCTCCCTTTATCTACAATGGAGCAAGCTCCTTCCCAGCGCGTGACACCTTCGTTACACTCTCGGTAACATCGCTGCCACCAGTGTGGGCGCGGCCATTACAAGAATCTTGAAATTTGCCCTCCAAGCCCATATGTAGTAACGTTTATACATGTGTTTATGTCTGTGGGAATGCCATCATATTTTAATTTGAAAAGGTTTACGATTGACCATGTTTTCCAGATGAATTTACTTTGTTGTTTTGATAATCAGATTGGTTCGAGATTGCCGACTAACGGGAAATCAACCAACTTCTCCCTTACATTCTTACCATATCAATGACATGATAGATTTAATGAATTAGAAATTCAAATTGACATACAAAGAAAGTAATTTAGCAGGGGTAAGTGTATTTGGCGTCATGACAGTCGTCACTTGTTTGTAAACATAACGGTCATTCGGTTGCGAGTTCAACTCCAAGCATGGTTGTGGCCACCTATTCACAGTGGGGAGTTTTGACTGGTGGCAGCGATAGTACGTTCCCGGAGCTCTCTATACTATCGCGATAGTATAGAGAGCTCCGGGAACGTACTATCGCTGTGAGGAGCTTGACAATGGAGGCCCATACTTTGAACACCCGCCTTCACTTGCAACCACCATGACCACTGTTCTGGTAAATGCAGGGAAACTGATATGTTCCATTCCGTAGTTCTGTCAACAGTTCTATTTGGTCATAATCAGATGAGGCATCACCATGCGAGGCTACAATCATATTTTATCATCTAAAACTGGCTCCCACAGGCGATATCGCATCACAATGCTTTGCAAACCATTGTGACATCATTGGTTACAATGAAATCACAATCAAATGACATCACTAATGGCTCTGCTTCTTAAGCTTTTAGCAGTGCTTTTTACACTGAAGACACTGCTTATTACAATCTACAAACTGAAAAAGTTGGAAGAATGATGTTGGATGATAAATATAATCTCACCCTCATGTCTTTTGCAGAGCTCCAGATAAGCTGCGTATCTGCGTAAAATACGCATCAGAAATGCAGAAATATGCAGTAAAATAAAATCAAAGCGTATCAAATACACAACTAACATTACAGATACGCTACAAAAATAAAACTTGTGCGTATCATCAAAATATTGAGAAGTAACCCTGCGTATTCGATAAGCAAATCAGCAACTTATTTTGAAATTATAACCGGGCATTCCGTCAACCTTGCCAAACTCCACAATGACAGTTACATCATGATCATTTGCCATCACCAATGATCACACTTTCTTGTGGAAGTATCGTGGTATTTTTGAGTCCTATAGAGCTCTCGAAACCACACAACACCAGTTTGCATGAATAGTGTTTTTAAATATTTAACTTAAATACCCACATGTGTAAAAACTAGTGGGTAACAGAAATTTGAATACCCAGATAGAATTACTGATACCCAATGATTTTAAAATGCATGGGGAAAATACCCACAACACCAAAAGCTTATCTGGAGCTCTGCTTTTGATATCAAATATATTAACACTTCTTGACAAAAATGGAAAAACTCCTCGGCATGCTTCAGTGTTTTTTCACTTTTATCAACTCGTGTTGATATATTTGATATCAAAAGACACTCGGGTGAGATTCTCCATTTACCAGGATCGTGGTGTACAAATGGTATTCTTGAACATGTTTTGTGAACTAAATACCACTTAGTTTGTACGACATGCTAAATTGCATGCCCACAGATGGTCATATTGTGAAAGAAATACCATGGAAAATTTAAACTTGAGATAACATGTAAAAAACTTTAGGCTACTGTAGTTGTGTGTGGATCAGCACAAAATACTTTGTCAAGATACAATATGCATCTTGATAATAAAGAAAACTTGACACTTGCATCAGCAAGAACTGCACTCAATGATCAATGTAATGTCTTGGTACTCAATCCAAACATGTCTAGTAAACATGCGTAAATTAAATCATGATGAAGGTAGTGTTTAAAATTAAGCATGAAATTAAAGGGGTCCATGTCATAACCCGAAAGTTAAAGATGAAGATGTGGGATGCCTAGATTCAAACATGACAGGAGGAGACTTCAAGGACCATCATGACATGGCACCCCCTTTCAAACACTGTATACCGTATTCCACATAATAAGCGCCCACAGTATTTGCCAATATATTGGCTAGTGAACAATCCCAATTAGCACCCCTTCCGATTGATCAATGTTCACAAGACTTATTTATCTGTTTATAATAAGTGTGTTATATGCATCCTTATTTAATTAAATTCTGGAGAATACATCTGTCGTATATAAACATTTCAGGCTGCCGGCATAAACCACGAAATTTATGATCTTTCAACTCTGTTGTTTTTCTATTTCTACTTTTGAGAGCACCCTGGGTGCTTATTATGTTGAATATGGTATGTATCGTTTTATGGCAGATATAACACTCGTGGAGGAAGGTCCAACAAGGCACCAGTACTACTTATTTCACTTTTCCTGTATGACTGTTACTTGCTTGAACCATATCAGCGCCCACATGAAGAACATTCTGATAAAATGGAACAAAAATCTGTACATGTAAAATGGTTTGGATTAACACACTTTCAGATTAACTAATCATGGGTATCCAGGAATATCTCTTGGTATATCATATAAATTTGAAGGAAATGGTCTGCACGGCAGATTCCTGATAACCCTGTTTTGCCTAATGTTGATCCGCAAACCTCCAAGGTCTGTTGACAAGAGTGAGTTGGGTTTAATGCTGCTTTTAACACTATTCCAGTTATATCACGGTGTGTCAGCTTAATGTGGGAGGAAAGCCCCAAGTGATGCAGGTCTAAGATGTTACCACTTCGGTGAAACCCACGAGCACGGGCACGGTGCTGAAAAAACCTTGAAACATAATCGGGGCGAACCGAGATTCGAACCCACAATCATAGGTTTCTGTAGTGCCCAAGGGACGCAACTCTGCACAGCGAATCGCAGGGCCTTAGACGACTGGGCCACCCGTCCCCCCTCCCCCCATGTTGACAAGATGGAAGTTCTCTTCATGATATACAATCGCATTAAAATCAGATCTTAGTCCTCGCTACCGCTAAACAAAGATCTGAAGACATCCCATTACGGGTCACGTCAGACCGACCTTTCGCAAACTTTGACCTACTAATGGAATGACTGACAAGAAGTTGACATTAGCCAATCAGAAGGCAGCTTTCTCATGCTTTACGGCACTAGTTTCAAACTGGCGACTACACTTTGAAATATATTTTGACAAATTCTCGATTAAAAAATTGAAAAATGAACAAAGGAACATTTTGGAATGGCTAATATATCTAGATTGTATGGATTCATTCCTAAAGACCGCAACTGTCCTCAGATCTTTGTTTGGCAGTAGCGATACCTAAGATCTGATTTTAATGAAATTGCATGATATATTACTATGTCTGTCTGTTGACAGAAGTGACGACACAGGATGACGATGTCAACTCTCAGTCTGCTTCAGGGAAGTCCAAACCTTCACCGTCACCCACACCCATCATTGTCCGCTGTTGATGATGATGCCACCTGCTACAGTTTGACACATGCTACAGATTGGACCTAGAGGGGGGTACTGGTCATCTGACAGTCATCAGGGCTTCACACATCACCACTGGAATATCAACATGGATGCGCGGATGGCTCAGCTCCACCTCCCCCTGAAACACACGCCAGGAATAGTAAAACAATGCACAAACACAGGGATTTATTGGGACCAGGAATAGTAAAACAATGCACAAACACAGGGATTTATTGGGACCAGGAATAGTAAAACAATGCATAAACACAGGGATTTATTGGGACCATGAATAGTAAAACAATGCACAAACACAGGGACTTATTTGGACCAGGAATAGTAAAACAATGCACAAACAGAGGAATTTATTTGGACCAGGAATAGTAAAACAATGCACAAACACAGGGATATATTTGGACCATGAATAGTAAAACAATGCACAAACACAGGGATATATTTGGACCATGAATAGTAAAACAATGCACAAACAGAGGGATTTATTTGGACCATGAATAGTAAAACAATGCACAAACACAGGGATATATTTGGACCATGAATAGTAAAACAATCCACAAACACAGGGATTTATTTGGACCAGGAATAGTAAAACAATCCACAAACACAGGGATTTATTTGGACCATGAATAGTAAAACAATGCACAAACACAGGGATTTATTTGGACCATGAATAGTAAAACAATGCACAAACACAGGGATTTATTTGGACCAGGAATAGTAAAACAATATACAAACACGGGGATTTATTTGGACCTGTTCAGAGGCCGTTATTCGACCCAAAGTCTGCAGCAACTGTTATTACAAATAAATTCCCAGATTGGGATTTTAACTTCCAAATCCTGTAATAACTAATAACTGATTTTACGTCTTTGTAGCAGGATACTTTGTAGCAGTTAACAGGACCAGGAGAAAGAGGTTATAATGCTTTGTTTTATATTAATACACTGAATACAATCTCAAAATACATTTTTAACATGGTTAAAATACCTCCTAAATGAAGAAAACAAGAATAGAAATCCCAGTTTAGAAGACTGGAACATCACTGGCAGAGCTGTTGCTAGGACACAAAAAGTAGATCGATGTGATAGTCAATGTTACAGTTGACATTAATCATGTTATCAAATGACTGCTGTTACCATGGTTACCATGCTGACTTAAATTTCAGAATATGTCTAAATTAAATGGGCATGCAAGTTAAACACAGACTCTCTATAGTGATATAGTTTCCATCCTGTTGGAAGCACTTTCTACATGGATGACCACACATTCCCTGTACAATAAATACTGGGAACTGTTGTACCTGTGGAATCAGGTTGTGGCGCTTGCGTCTCATGATAAACCGCTTCCCTATTCGCACTTCTTCATAGAACTCATGAGCGAGGTCACCATCTTCATCAAAAAACATCGAGCTGGAAAACAAACACAGAAATTGAACAAGATGACATTCAATATAAGAGTAAGACCTTATAAAAAATCACTTAATTTACTGATTCAGTGATCTAAAAATAAAGAATTGTGACCAAACATTATCTATACAGTACTGCAAGCTTATGTTAACATGGTTAATGCATTTGGATCATAAAACTAATTTCAAAGTATTTGGCATTGATCAAAATGCTGAAATGAAACAGTGTCATGAGTGCACTTTGCACATGTTGTAATACTTGAAAACAGAAACAATACAAATTCAAATTCAAGTTGTTATTTAAAGGACCAGATCCAATTAATCCAGGCCTTAATATTATTAAATCTATAAAAAAAACATTGTAAGAAGATCAAAGCATTTCATAAAAAAATGTTTTAAAGATATATATTTAGTTGGAAACAACCAACAACACTTTACAAGAAATTCTAACAGAAATCAAGAAGTCAAATAATGCTAAAATGTTGCCGGGAAGGACTTTAAAGAAAATGGGACAAAAGAAAAAGAGTTCAAGGAAGAACAATTTCTCAAGGCATGTGAAACCTTAACTGAAAAATTAACATTACTATGTTCTACAATCCAACATGCTCCTGCGTCATCTTTGTCAGATGTTAATGAGGCATATTTGAGAAAGAATCGCATGTATTCCGAATGGCAAAGTAACCTAAGTGAAAGAAGAGTCGCTGACAGCACCAGACATAGATAGAAATTGACAAAGAATGGCTCAGCAAAGATAAGCCAGTACTCCAACACAAATTTTGGATTCATAAGATCCTAGGTGATCCGAGGGAAGAGACAGAAATATGTTTTGGGTTGGTTTTTTCATTTGTTTGTTGTTTAACATCGCACTCAGCAATATTCCAGCTACAGTTGTGCCTCGTTTATACGGACACTTGCGTCATTTCACAATTCGTCCGTATAAACGAATTTCCATATAACTGAAACCAGCTTCTTACTGGAAGAGTTATAAACAATATAAACAATAAACAAGCTCGTCTCAAACGTAACTCAGTGTCACTTGGTTAATTGACTTCTCACGAATCAAAGGATTACCACCAGCGGAAGGATTACCACCAGCGGAAGTATATTGTCCGGGTAAGTGAGACAATTGTGTGTGCATTTCAGTGTTTTGTGTATGAAAATGACCATCCAGTTCCGGAAACTGAATTTCCGTATATACGGGTAAATTTATATAGTAATTATTTCGTTTTGAATGAAAATCCCCCGGGAACCGAGGTTTCCGGATATCTGAAGTCTGTATAAGCGGGGCATGACTGTATATGACAGCGGTCTGTAAATAATCGAGTCTGGACAAGACATTCCAGAGATTAACATCATGAGCATCGATTTACACAATTGGGATCGATGACATGCATCAACCAAGTCAGCGAAACTGACCACCCGATCCCGCTAGTCGCCTCTTACGGCGAGCATAGTCGCCTGTTACGGGTTGCTGAAGACCTATTCTACCCCGGATCTTCACGGGTCACACATACGTAAAGAGTTGGCAATTTATGAATTAAGAGGTTCCAAACAGAAGTCAAACTTTTGGAGAAAAGACTGCTGAGATATGAATAAAAGAATCATAACATGGACGACTGCATTGAATTTGTATTTCAGGAGGACACTTCACCTTCAGGTTTGGGTCTTTCAGTTGAAATTATGGAAAGTAGACAATGACAAAGAAGAGATGAAGTCAGTGGAAATATGGAGGAGGAAGGAGACGATGTTTCAGGTAATACTGCTAACTAAAAGTACTGCAGAGAAAAGAAATGTGTACAGGAAAAATAGAAGCAACAATACCCGCCCTAAAATTACCAAGAACATGAACCAAACCCCGGCCGGAGTTACGCATGTGTGGTTGAGTGTGGCGTGCAGCAACCATTCCGCCACGTTAGGTCAGGACAAAATGACAAGGTGATCACCACAGGGAAGATATGTTCAAGATCATTACAATGTATAGTCACAAGAGAAAAGAGTAGATTTCAATCCTTAAGGTGAGGGATTCTGTGGATTTGGGAACCGACATGGTCAAGAACATACATATGACAACAGAAAGAAATAGAGTGAGTGAGTGAGTGAGTTGGAATTAACGCCGCTTTTAACAGTATTCCAGTTATATCATGGCGTGCCAGTTTAACCTTGGAAGAAAGCCCGAAGTGATGCTGGTCTCGGACGTTTACCACTTGGGTGAAACCTACAAGCACAGGTATGGTGCTGACAAACCTAGAAACATAATCGGGGCAAACCAGGATCTGAACCCACAATCATAGATTTCTACGTGCCCAAGGGACGCAACTCTGCACAGCGTATTGCGGCGCCTCAGACGACTGGGCCACCCGTGCCCCGAAAAAGAAATAGAAATCATGCTCATTAAAAATTTGAAAACAACCATAATAAAAACTACTACCACCATCACGGAAACCTATACACTAATACAGGTAAAGACAGTATCACCAGGTTCATAGAAGCCTGAAGATGTACAAATTGATCCTAAAAAAATAAATATATCCAAAAACAATTGACAGAAACAGAAATCAACTTATGAAAACGGGGTCTGAAATTCACACCAAACAAGAACAATGAACAGTTGAACTGGATATACATCATTTTCGTAGACGACTGAGACTTAGGGAATATTTTGATGGTTTTGAAGAGGATGATATCGTCAACTCACAGGAACCTGTTTCACCAAATGTAAGTGATGACTCTAATCATCCATTTTTAAGAAACAAAAATGGGTTTAATCATGTTAATCCTTAACAAAATAGAGACAAATATCTGGATGAAATAACAGATACCATCGAGAAATTTCTATTGAATAATTCCAACAGAGTCAACCACAATTTATCGTTTCAGTAGAGAGAAGCACTACCGGGAATTAAAAATGATCGTTTTATTGAGGCCGGTTTTAAACAAGCAGCGATATAACCAGTACTCGTATCTACTTTTGTGCTGACGCAAATACAACCATAACATCTTGTGCCATAAGCATGATAAGTACTTCCCACCCCATAGTACTCCAGAAAACATTTTATCCTGCTTAAAAATAGATTCATAGCAGTCTTGAGATTCATATAAATACACAAGGGGCTTGTTTGTATCATGCTGTGATTTTGAATGTGTATATCTATGCATTCAGAAGAGGCATTGAGTTTGGGTGATGATTTCAAGCTCAGGCCCAATAAAAATAATGTGCTAAGTTGCTGATGAGAGATGGAGCTTGCTCAATTTTATTTTTGAAATGGGGTGAATGGGTCCGGGGTATTGATCCTATTAGAATGGAGATACAGTACATCGGATGAGCAAGAATACCAGGTGTAGATTGAACAACAAACTTGTATGTAGCCAACAGGACTTGCTCCTTTCAAAAGTTACTGGCCCTTCTCACAACTGTCAAACAACTAAATGGGGTTCTGAAAATTTTAGAGAAAGCCTCACCCCTAAATCGCCTTTTCCTGCACTCTGAGTTGTTTAAAAGATGGCTTCCATTTGCCTCAATTTATAACGATTTATGAGCAAATAAAGATGTTGTAATGCACAGCATTACAAAAATAGCGACCAGTGGTCATTCTACCGAGACGATGGACATATATCTTTCTCTGAGTTAAACATTCACACCACCTCATACCCACTGAATATTTTCTGATCGAACTTACACGATTTACGAGTAGTGTCCACGTAAAAAAATTAAACACACAAAAATTAAACATACACGGAGAAGGGGTAAAATTTGTACTAGCAAGATGGGCCATCTACTTTACATTTCAGCAAGCCCTTTTTAATTTTAACTGGCCAGGGGCCAACCGTTAAATCGACCTCTGTATACCACATGATTCATGTAAGAAAATGTCTGTACGGTGATAACAGCAAATCTGTCTATAATGTGATTCTAAAACAACATGCTCAATGGAGAGTCCAGATCAGAAACTTCTATCTGAAAGCAGTGAGTCATAAACATTGATACCGACAGTGAAATACTCAGGCTCTTTGTTTAGGCATGTTAAACTTTAATCTGCATATATATCAATCACAATTGTTTCAATTTCCATTCTGTGTCAACATGGTCCTTCCAACTTCCTTTCTGTTTAACATGTCATGTGTTTGTGCAGTGAGTTATAACACAACAGGCTTTATCTGGGCATTGCTTAGAATTAAAACACATCTGTGACGTCATTCCATTGTTTGAACGCTCCAGTATTTTTCAAGAATGGAGAGTTGCTTGTCAACTGTACATTATCTTGAAGCAACATTTGAATTAATTTCCACTTGGAACAGACGGAACTATTTTTTACATTTCTTTACAAGTGAATATTTTCATTTATTCCGAAAACATGTGTCGTCAGAGGGGTTTGAACCCGCATCGTCTGATTTGAAAACGTGTAATTGCCAATCTCAGCTACTGCGGCACATGAAGGCATGGTGTGAAATTAACTATTAAATAGTTTCATAATTTTGCATAATGCTTAAAAGCTCAAAATAATATGTATATATTTTGTGTTAGAGCAGGTTACTCACAACAATGTTCATATTTATAACAGTTAGATAAACCTTTGATGAGAAAAAACAAATAAGGTGATATAAATATCGCTTGTTCGGGGCTCTATATTTCCTATTATACCCATCAGCATGTATTTACAATGTGCAAGCGATTGATTAATACTAGTTTAGGAAACAACGAAATTATGAAGCTTGCGGCGGAGCTTGGCGCACATGCAACAGAGAACGCATTCCTCGTGTATCACCCAAGGGTGACTCACGCAGTATAAATACAGATAACAAAGAGTTCTGGTTTATTTTTCAAATATTTTCAACCACAGAATATTTTGTCAAAGTGTTAAAAGTATGGAGTAGTTTTGAGTAGGGGAATATCCTCGTAACTCTCCATCCCTTAAAAATAATGGGCCTCAGCCCCTGCTCCATTATTTTTAAGGAATGGAGAGTTACTCGGACATTCCCCTCTACGTAAAGATTGGACCAATCTTCCCGAGGCTAGGGAAAAAGTCCAGTTTCACCCTTCCCGAACTAGGCTGGAATTTCTTGGATCTATTTTAACGTCACCAGTTGCTATTACCATTTATGTCTCTTCTATGTTCCTCCTATTCACCATGCTTACATTTGCAACAAACAAAATGGTGGTGACCAGTGAAGACGATTGCATTGACAATCAAGATCATATTGTAATAAAATGGGTCTTACTTCAATTAGTGCATCAAATCATGTGAGCACCTTCATTAAAAACATGAAAAGATTTGGAAAATATCTGTCAACGACCAGTTTACGACACACATGCACTGAAAATCCTGCAATCAAGCGAAATCTGCATGGCAGTCACCATGTTGTTTATGAATATGATGAACCTAATGTCGATTTCATTACGCGTTTTTGATTGGACTATGCATAGACTAGTTCGGCAAGGGTGGAAACTGGACTTTTACTGTCAGTTAACTCCCTTGCCTCAGGAAGATGAAGGCACTGACGAGTTCACCACCACTAGACTGATTTGTATAGTAAGTTTCAGCAAGAAATAGTGAACATGTCATCAAAACAAGTACTATTAAATGACTATTTAAGTCCAAGTTATGTTACAGTATACTTGTTTAATAGCATTTAACATGCCTGTAGTCTGTGTCCAGTGTGACCTCACCCTTTTATGAAGACTAAAGTATGAAATTTACAATTCAAGTCATGCACCTAATATTTGCTCGATTTATCAATTAAATGTTACTTCATCAGTGATTTTGCTGAAAAGAAATGACATCAGGACATATTCATGAATCTTTCTTCAGGACATTCTTTTATCATTAAAACTTTTTAAAACATCTTCACGACAGTTTGGATGACAACCAGTCAATGTCCTAGATAATGAACCTATCTGAATCCCAATTTTATTTGCTGCGTAGAACTAGGCCTTCGATTTTAGAAAACACATCATTGTCGTATTTCCATAATTTGTAAATTGAAATTTACATCCGATGTAATTGCATTCATTCATATCGACTGTTGAATGTTGACATATGAAAAAACACGGAGGAGGACAGAACTAACCTTTGTCTTGTGAGAACAAACGGTGATGGACCCTTGTAGCTGGCTATATCTGCTCTCTTGGTCTCCCCCTTTCTCCCCCACATCCATGACACGGGCTGTGCTATCTTACTGGCGATTGACGACGTTGTTTGGCCCATTTTAACACGGAATAACTATTCACATGCGGACAACAAGTCCTCTGTGACCTACACCACTTTTCACTAATCTATCATTAGTTTCTGATCTCTTGGACGATATTATCAACAACTGTCTGATGAGAAATATATTCGCTCAGCTGCACCGGAACCGGATGTTTCTAGAAACATCTTATCTTGGAAATTAGAGTTATTTCCCTTGTATCGTTAGCGCGCACCTGTCAGACGGTGATCGAGACCTTTTTTCTCGTTACCAAACGTGTATTTATAATTATTAAAAAGCCGGGTTGACATGTTATCTGATGAACTTTAGACGCAATTATTTCATTCGGTTTCAAAGAACCACTGTTTGTAGCCTAATTCAAGTTTAGGTCAAGAAGTTGTAAATAATACAGCGTGTAAAAAAGAAACTTATATTAACCGTGTACATAGATGGACTCTGCTATAATTTATCAAGATATAAATATGACATGTTTACTTTTAATAGCAGTATGAATAAATTACTGAATCAACTTCACATATGTCATTTGCACATCAGGTGGGCAAGTCTGCTGGTCGTGTGTTCCATCACAGATGTGTTCAGATAACGACCCTTGTTGCGTCGAAACAACACTCATAGGTTCAGATGTGTTCTGATACTGATTCTTGGTGAGGAGGCACAATACTCTTGTGTTCCATCACAGATTCGTTCTGATACTGATTCTTGGTGAGTAGGCACAATACTCTTGTGTTCCATCACAGATTCGTTCTGGTACTGATTCTTGGTGAGTAGGCACAATACTCGTGTGTTCCATCACAGATGCGTTCTGATACTGATTCTTGGCGAGTAGGCAAAATACTCGTGTGTTCCATCACAGATGCGTTCTGATACTGATTCTTGGTGAGTAGGCACAATACTCTTGTGTTCCATCACAGATTCGTTCTGATACTGATTCTTGGTGAGTAGGCACAATACTCGTGTGTTCCATCACAGATGCGTTCTGATACTGATTCTTGGCGAGTAGGCAAAATACTCGTGTGTTCCATCACAGATGCGTTCTGATACTGATTCTTGGTGAGTAGGCACAATACTCGTGGGTTCCATCACAGATTCGTTCTGATACGGATTTTTGACGAGTAGGCACAATACTCGAGTGTTCCATCACACATGTGTTCTGACAATGGTTGTGTAGACGTCTACGACCTTGTGCTTTCCTGAAGTTCACATGCCATGATAGGTTCTCAGTGTCGTTATAAAGACTGGATCTGGTGGTCATTCTTTTTGACTGTCTGAATGTGTCTCTCGGTGGCGTGACACTGTCAGTGCCGAGACCAGGTTTCCCGTACCCAGGGCCCCAAAACACAAAGCTATCGTACCGCTAAGACAATTGTAACTCCCATACTTGAACATAGACTTACGACTTTCGTACAAGATAAAACAACAAACAAACATCCATATGACATTGTATATTGATACAATATTTAAAACAATATTATGCAAACACACCACGGAATCATTCCTTTCGTGCGTGTAGCGTGAATCTAACCGTGAAAAATCCGGGTCAGAATTGGTCTTCAGCATCCCATGCTTGCGGTAAGAAGCGACTAACGGGATCGGGTGGTCAGGCTTGCTGATTTGGTTAATGCATGTCATCGTATCCCAATTGCGTAGATCGATGCTCATGACATCAATCACTGGATTGTCTGGTCTAGACTTGATTATTTGCAGGCCGCCGTCGTATAGCTGGATTATTGCTGGATGCGGCGTTAAAGAACAAATAAACAAACAAACAAAATAGTTCGTTGGTTGTTTAAAAGACAGACAAGAAGCACAAGTGTCAAAGTGCGGCGATAAACAACAGACAAGGCAAAATCAAAAACACGTACAGAAAATCCCGTCCCCAGACAAAAAAACCCCGACAGATTATGTAGCAGAACCTCGACAAAAGTTTATCATTTTTGTTAAGGTTTGGAGAGATTCCGGATCATTACAGACTGCAAAAGGACTCCAAATAATACATATTTCTTTAAGTGAATTCGTTACTTTTGCAAATGTATCTTTTGCTCCACCAGACACGTGGAGTTTGCGGTGTACTGTGTTACCTCTTAATACAGAAATGGAACAAATACAAATCGTTAGATTTCGAGATTGGCAATCGGTCTGACTGGGCTCCTGTCTACCCAAATGAGAAAAACGCTAAGCTTGCGGCGCCTGCCAACAGTGGAACCATTTTACCAATCGATAAAACTCGCGGACCTTAAGAAGCATTTGTCACCTCTCGTTTCATTTCGGGGGATTAATGACGAAAGTTAAGGTTTAACTTCAATAGCAAGCTCGAATACATTTCTTTAAAAGAAGGGAGTATTCACAAATTAATTTTCGTTAAATATTCGTGTTAATGATGAAAACGTTTACCAATTGAGAAGGTATTGACGATCACCTATAAAACTTTAAATGCATAATACACAAATACATGAGGGATGCACCTCTGGTTCCTCGTATATTACACTGTATTAAGTATTTTCTCATCATGTAAATCACATGTGTGTAACTATGTTTTAACAGTATAATCAATAGTTTTCGACCGACGCAATTTTGATGTCAGTGATATAATTATGCATGACGCGACCCAAAGATGCCCCTACATGCATGCTATATCCGTGAAGATCCGGGTTAAAATGGGTCTTCAGGAACCAATGCTTGCCGTAAATGGCGACTATGCTTGTCAGAAGAGGCGACTAACGGGATTTGATTCTCAGCTCTAGCAGTCTATACTAATCCCATTCTCAACTGTAGTAGGCTATACTCACCCCATTCTCAGCTCTAGCAGTCTATACTCACCCCATTCTCAACTGTAGTAGGCTATACTCATCCCATTCTCAGCTCTAGTAGTCTATACTCACCCCATTCTCAACTGTAGTAGGCTATACTCATCCCATTCTCAGCTCTAGCAATCTTTACTCATCCCATTCTCAACTGTAGTAGGCTATACTCATCTAATTCTCAGCTCTAGTAGTCTATACTCGTCCCATTCCCAGCTGTAGTAGGCTATACTCATCCAATTCTCAGCTCTAGCAGTCTATACTAATCCCATTCTCAGCTGTAGTAGGCTATACTCATCCAATTCTCAGCTCTAGCAGTCTATACTAATCCCATTCTCAGCTGTAGTAGGCTATACACATCCAATTCTCAGCTCTAGCAGTCTATACTAATCCCATTCTCAGCTGTAGTAGGCTATACTCATCCAATTCTCAGCTCTAGCAGTCTATACTCATTCCATTCTCAGCTGTAGTAGGCTATACTCATCCAATTCTCAGCTCTAGCAGTCTATACTAATCCCATTCTCAGCTGTAGTATGCTATACTCATCCCATTCTCAGCTCTAGTAGTCTATACTCATCCCATTCTCAGCTCTTAAGAATTAGGGGTTTCGAGAGTTCCTAACTTCTCAAGGGTTCCCAAATAGAACTATTTTTATTTGACCTTATACATAACTTTTAAAGATTATATGTCAGTCTAAACTTGAATAAATCTGCTGGAAATGCCATTTTCTCAGAGCCCTTTAAGTCTACTGATCCGTGAAAGATCCAGGTTAGAATAGGTCTTCAGCAACCCATGCTTGTCATAAGAGGCGACTATCGGGATCGGGTGGTCAGGCTTGCTGACTTGGTTAATGCATGTCATCGTATCCCAATTGCGTAAATCGATGCTCATGATATGAATCACTGGATTGTCTGGTCGCGATTATTTTACAGACCGCCTTCATATAGCTGGAATATTAATATTGCTGAATGTGGCGTTAAAAAACAAACAAATTTAAATCTACTTATATACTTCTACATAGTATATCAAGTCATAATTAGTTCAGGAGTAGAATTTGTGTCAAGCATGCACCATTCATTTATAGAGGTAGGTCTCTCCAAGTGACGTCACACTTCAACGTTTTGAGTCATCCGTCATCCAGGCCCCAGTTTTAATAATGTTCGAATCTTTCATGGCATGCGAGCACCTGCCCACGTATACTACACAACTATGTAGGTAAATAGACATGACGCATGAATAGGAGTTCATGAAATGGTGACGACTCCAGGTCCAACCAGGAAGTGACGCATTGAATAAGTTTTAAGGGTATGCAGTCTGGTTCCATGGATATGCTGCGCGGGCGCTCATTGTAGTGCTAGCGCAGTATACCCAGGGAACCAGGCTATAAGGGTCAGTGCTTTATTATATATATGTGACATTTTCAATCGAACCTTCAGTGTTAAAGAGTTTATAGTGGGTGTAAAACGTGCCATATTCGGAAGATTTCACTTCCGAGAATTAATAATTCACACACAATACTGTTAAGTTAAAGTAGTCTTTCTTACCGACCTCCATCCACATGTTATGGGACTCAAGAAAACATCATTTCCGGTTAAAAATCATTAATAGATCCTGTGAATCGTATAACTACAAAGGCTCGTGACAAGGCCGCGATTTTGAATGTAGATTTGTGCCGAACTCACATTCAGAAGAGGTATTTTGATTGGTTGTTGATTTCAAGCTCATAGCAGAAGAAACTCTTTACTTGGTTCATGGTGAGCGATGGAGCTGATGACGTCACTTCCTAACGAAGCTAAATGGTGGCGAAAGCGTCCAATCGTCACCAATCGCCCCTTTTCGTAACCTGCAAGAAGATCCCTATTCGGCTTGTCCCGGAATCGATCAGGAACGGAAAGGGTCCAGTCAACTGATCACAATACAATGGGGATATAATACATTGATAACAGAGGATGGCCGGCTTGATGCTGGCGTTAATAATAATAATAATAATAATAATAATAATAATAATAATTGTTATTATGATTATCATTGTTGTTATTATTATCACATTGTTGAAACTCTCGAGCAGAGAATCATAATCGAGGTGAATCTGGGATTTGAACCCGCGGTCATATAGAGCTACATTTTCTCGCACCCTCTACCGTACCGCATTTTGAAAGTCGTACATTGTATAGGTAAACATTCAAAGCAAGCAAATATACAGTTGCAAATTTCATTGCAGCGTCTTTTCGTGACGTTAAATATTGATGTCGTGTTGAGAAAATCAATATCTTTTAAATTCCCTAGAATTTAAATGATAAAAAAACGACAAACAGTTGTTCTCTTAATTGTGATCTCTTTGTTTATGGCCTCGTGTGATTCCGTAGTTTAATAGGTCATACGCAGTATAGCCAGTACTTGTCATAAGAGCCGTCTAATGAGGATTGAGCGGGTACAATGGTAGATTTAAGCCTGATGACGTGGATTCGTGCTCAAACTGCCATGGTTTGCCCGGGCATACTCGATCGTTTGTCATCTGCAGAGATCGATGTGAATGACAGCTGACAACATTCACTCATTTCACTAGCTATTTGTATTTTTAGATCGATCAGCTTTGTATGAGGGGGCCCTCTTCCGCTGAAACCCGAATACCAAATTATCCCGGATATTACTTATAATTAACACAAATCTCAAAAGCATTGAGAAATACAGGTGCTATTTGAAGTTAAATTACTGAAAAATGTGTTTAACATAAAATATATAATTGCAATTTTTACGTACAACATTTCTTTCATTTTTTTTAGAATGTTGAATTTGCGTACCAAATACGAATACCATCTAAATAAAATTAAGGAGTTGGCATCCTCGTATATATACACCATATATACTGGTACAGTGACAGGACACGTGTTCTTGTGGAATTCAAATTACAAATATCTTTTTCGTTTCCTTTTCCAACATCTTTGAAAATGATTTTTTTTTTATAATAACACATCTGAATAGATACTTTCGGTAATAATGGACTTAATGCACAGAATATATTCATACATTATGATTAAAAACAACATTACGATTATAGTGCATTTTAGCTATTTTGAGTGAGTCATCCTTCGTTCACTGTCGTTCATCCTAATGATTGTGTTTGACGCATTTGTGAACAAAGGCGTTTCTCAACACTAGGTTTGTTGTCACAAATATGTTTTGTTTGTTCGGGTCTAGTCATTATTTGTTTCGAGCATGCGCAGATTCCCCGGAAGTGTGGCAGGGTAATCCCAATGGCGGAGGATTGAATTCACCGAACGGATTCCCCCCATGTGTTTGCGACAAAAGCGGGTTTCTGTGAGATAAAATAATGGCACATTTATTAGAAACTGGATAGTCATAGCCACCAAAGGTAAGTCTTTCTTTAAATAAATGTCTTAAAGCTGAATTCTTATGAAAACAGTCAATAACATGCATGTGACAGGTGGTTCGAAAGTTTGTCGTTTTCAAAAACAATGGGATCGCGCCATATCCAGATCTCGCCCACATGAAATTACCAAACGATCAAGCCATCTACAATTGTGTGTGTGTAGTCACGCCCGTGAGGAAGCAAAGGGCAGTGTCTACGTTGTCGGTGTCCTGTGTATCGTCTGTATATGGAGAGGACCCGGTTGTTTATTCCGTGCACGAAGAGTGCCAGATTGTATGTGAGATTCACGCCGTTCAATGATTCATGCCCAGTAGCTTCTAAGCCCTGTAATAGCTTGGTCCGACAAAGTGTTGATACTGTGGAGTCCATACCCTACATGAAAGGGACTGGGTCGAGATAACTGTCTGAATACAAATCACAAATCAAGACTCAACTCATTAACTGTTATGTTAGCTGCTGTGATTGGCACACGATTGCGTGATCAAGTGATTGTTTTGTTGGCAACAAGGCGAGAGATAATCTTTTACCAGGTTTTCTTAATTTGTGAATGGAGAGAAAATTGCTGCTCCACAGGACCATGTTTACAAATAATTTGCTTTTTTTAGTAAAACTACAAAAGATGAATATCATAGCAAACATTTGTTGAAATAATTAGCATGAGAACAACCCCAATGATCCGAATGCACTGTAGGCTCATTTTAATGAAGGTAATTTACAGGCGCATATATATATTTACACGGGCAATTGCACAGTTCCTAATTAAGAGTATTTAAGACATTTGACAAATTACTTGTACATTTACAACTTATACCAACATAATCCTGTGTGTAATGATAATAATAGGAATTATATGACAACTAAGATAGTCATTAACGAATCATGTCAAAATATGGAACATTTTATCAAGTTGACTTTTTGTCTTCAAAATTTGATAGCACAAATCCTAAAGAATTGTTACCTAACCACATGTAACCATTGTCTGTTTGCTGTGTAGGGTTCTTGCCAAAGGTCTTGTGACCTTTCTGTAGTACATCTGTATTCAATTAAGGTACCCATAATGCCTCCCTTGAAGAACATTCAGGGAATTCCCCTGCCATTGTGAATAATGTCTGTGGAGGATGTAGATGTGATGGAACCATTGGCACAAAGTTCATCCAGTAGTCTTGTTGATAATGCTAATGTCTTGCTGAGACAGGTTTGTTTGGTGTATGAACGTGTGTGCTCTTGATCATGCTAATGCTTCACTAAGACAGAAGACTTTAATTTGGTTTATGAATGTATGTGCTCTCGCAATACCTGATGTTTTTCTTGTTGTCTGTTAACACTGTTGATGAAAGTGTCAAGTTAGTGTGAGTTAGGATTGGGATTGGACATGGCTTTCTTCATGATCAGATCTTAACAGATTAGAACAGTGGTGATAGGATATGGCGTGGGAGAGACTGAAGTGATACCGTATTCAACGTAATAAGCGCCCAGGGCGCTCTCAAATTAGAAATAGGAGGCTCTTATTAGAATATTATTTTGGTGAAAAAAACAGAGTTGAAAGATAAATTTCGTGGTTTATGCTGACAGCCTGAAATGTTTATATACGACAGATATATTTTTCCAGAAGTTAATTGCCCATAATTAAGCGTGCATATTACACACGAGTGCATATTATACACGAATAAATAAGTCTTGTGTACATTGATCAATCACAAGGGGTGCAAATTGGGATTGTTCACTCGCCAATATATTAGCAAATCGAATACGGTATGTCTATAAGATGTTTTATGAAGACCACAGGAAAAATTAATTACAGATTTTCATCCAAAATGTTCAAAAATATGAGGTGAGGGGCTTTTTTTTTTTTTATATATTTATGAAAGAAATACTGTTCAAGGCATTTGTGTACATTTACCTAAGATATGATTCTCAGTGACTGTGATGCTGCATGAGCTTTTTGTAGGACGACACAGAGGTGTATGTCATGAGAAACAAGTCAACACACAGAATTTCCTTCATTAATAGTTACATGGGGACAGACATCATGCTGGATGGGCTGTTTGGAAGTGAGGTGGGTGGTGATGAAAATGTTATCATTCAATAACTATCAGAACTTTTATCATTATTTAAAATACAGGACCTCCATATTTCTTCTCAAGAATTTGGTACAATGAATATTATTGTACATCCCCTGGGACACAAGGTTTATTTTTTCCGCGTCCATTCTATACATTTGCGTGTACTGGACGCACATTCTGTGTCATGTAAATCCCTTTCCCTTGATTCAGTCATAAGGACATCAGGATGCACCTTAATTTCAAATGCTGGTGATCGCATTTCCTCTAACATTTCCTCAGTAATAATTCCTAATTCAAACAGTCACATTAAATCTGGAGTGGGGTAGCCTAGTGGTTAAAGTGTTCGCTTGTCACGCCAAAGACCTGGGTTCAATTCCTCGCATGGGTTCAATGTGTGAAGCCCATTTCTGATGTTCCAGACGTAATAGTGCTGGAACATTGCTAAAAGTGGAGTTAAAACGTTCCACACTCACTCACAGAAAGTCTGAGTGTAATGTATCTGTCACCATGGGCTCGTAACGCCGAGGACCTGGGTTTGATTCATGACATGGGTACAATGTGTGAAGCCCCCTTTCTGGTGTCCCCTGTCATGATATTGCTGGAATATTGCTAAAAGCGGCATAAAACCAAACTCACTCACTAACTTTCACCATGGTCACAGCTAAGAGAATACTAGAAATTTAGAAGTTAAAGTGGGTGCCTTAGGTCCTGGAGTATACTCCTATGGTATTTGATTCTTCCCCCCCAAATTTTAACTTTTAATGTTGGGGTTATGAGTCGGCGCCTGGCTGTCCATGATGTGCATTATGTGGGTAGGTGGGTAGGTGAAGTGAAGCACATTTTGGTGACTAAGTCCTGATATTACTACACTTACTCTAAAAGCATCTCTTGATAATATGTATGTTTTAATCAATGATGACTGGTGTCTGAGCAAGTATGTGTGCTTCTTCCTCAATGAGTCAGATGCAAGACTAAATCCTCTTACCCCAGAGACACGTATTTGATGAGAAATAATTGCTAAGCCAATAATCACAGTATTATATGTTAACTGCAGCAATATCTTAAGAGACAATTTCATGTCCTTAATATCATATTGATCACGTTAATGCCATTCTAACTTGTCTCCACAGGTTTGAAATGGATGCATTTGTTTCAATGAATCAACATTCACAACATACTTTCTCACTTTAATGTCGCTCATAACGAAATATTTTACAACTCGTGCTCCATTTTGACCCGAATGTTGAATGTAAATGAAGTCAGCATCATTCGTCAGGCCACGGATCAGGCCAGTCACTGCACGGATCCCCTGTGAACAAAAACAGAAAATCAATAAGTGAATTAATAGCATCAATTTGTGGGGATAAGAGTCGGGAGAGGCAGTGGATGTTTGGAAGAAAGCAGCATCTCTTCGCCGCCACAGCCGCTGTTCTGCGGTATACCCTGTTGCTGTCCGTGCTTCTAACATCTTAGGTTCAAGGCTCGGTGTAGTTGTCATTAGGTGATTGACTAGTTGACTTAGTCATCCCGAGCTCTCCGACTCTCGGCTGGGTCAGATGGTTGGGTGATATGTCAGTATGTTATTGCTCAACAAACTTGACTTTACTACAGGGACATGGCCTGGAACTGCTGTGTCAATGTTGTAAACTCCTGATGAAACTTGTATGTTGTTGTGCATGTTGACGTTTGTCAGATTTCCCAGCCATTTTGTGATGAAGTGTCCGAGATCAAGGTAATAAAAGGTTGTTGTAGTAAAGTTGCAGTAAATTGCCATTGTTCATGGTCAGTGTCAATATTGTAAGCGCTAGGTACAGGAAGGTTTGATTATCATGCAAGGGACAACCAGAACCAAAGAATACACAATTTAGGGATGAGTATTGGGTGTTTAAAGTGTATCACAATATTTTACAATGCACAGGGCTGTATTGCAATACAATTCATGATATATTGTATAATTCTAAAGTTTGAATTCAGAAGCGATTTGAAACACCAGTGTATGAATTGAAGATCATAAGCATGATAAGTGAAACAAAACAAGATGCTGGTACAACATTGTGTTTACACATTTAATAAATATGCACAGATACATGCCCTGGGGCAGTGATGACTTCGCATTACACTACTGCCTCGGACAAACTCCAGAATGCGAACTTGCTTTTGGAATTACGGTAACATTACGATGGTATTTGGCATGTGTATAACATTAAACACATGATAAAAAAATCGCAACTTGAAATCACCCAATATACTGAGCATTAAAAAATGACATTGTGATGTGTATTGTGGAAAGAATGAACCTCAATTTACCGGTAATACTGCACACCCTCAATACACATTGACAAAATATGATATATGTATCATAATATGATACATAAAAAATTGATAGTCAGCATGGTCTATGACAATTATTGCAGGATCTGAAATAAACTAAAGTCTGTTAGTCCGAGACTAGTAAACTTCAGGGACTAGTACCATTTCCTTGTGGATTGCCACTAGCAGATCATTTTTGCATCCTAGTGAAAATAATACTTCCTTCTAGCCCTGGCCGAGGACTTGTATTCCATTATCAGATTTCTTTGTTCAAAGTGAATGTTTAGAGATCCAAGTCTAATATGTTAAACTTGTGAAATGTTTGTGCGAAGAGTCTGGTTCGATTCCGCAAATGAGCACTGTATAGAAGTGAGTGAGTATGGTTTTATGCTGCTTTTAGCCATATTCATGCAATATTCTGGTGGAGGGACACCAGGAATGGGCTTCACACATGGTACCCATGTGGAATCGAAACCCACGTTTTTGGCGCGAAGAGCAAATGTTTTAACTACTTGGCAATCCACCCTCCCCACTGTTTATAAAGTGAAGCCCCTATTTGGTGTTTCTTGTTTATGTTGCTGGTATATTGCTGAAAGAATTATTAAACCACCAATCTCATTGAATTAGATCTTAGTTATTGCTACTGCTAAGCAAAGATCTGAGGACATCCCATTACGGGTCACGTCAGAACGACCTTTTGTGAACTTTGACAAACCAGTGGAATGACTGACAAGAAGTCGACATTATCCAATCAAAAGGCACCTTTGTGCTTTACGGCACTAGTTTCAAACTGGCGACTACGCTTTGAAACATATTTAGGCAAATTCTCAATTACAAATTTGAAAACTGAAAAAAGAAAATTCTGGAATGGTTAACAGATGGCCTATATTTAGACTAACATTTAGTCTCTGAAATCTTATATTACACAATATCCTTCTTGACTCTAAAAATATAAAAAAAATTCCCTATGCTGATTTCAGAGTGTGGAATAGAGCTAGCTTGAGCTGGCTAGACTTGCTTTTGTATACATTTCTAGATTATTTTCTTTTCATAAAATAAATATATTCCACGGTCATGGTGCAGGACTAGCCTAGATTGTATGGATCCAGTTGTAAAGCCTGTCATTCGGAATTCCCCATGTTAAATTTTTCAAGGTTGCATGACTAGAATACACATTCCGATCTGGTGAGCAATTCTCTGATTGGTCGGATGAAAGGTCGTTCCCACGTGACCCGTAATAGGATGTCTTCAGCTGTAGCAAGAAGTAAGATCTGATTTCAATGAGATTGTTCCAACCGCTAACTCATGATATATAAGGAATAGAAGGTAAATGAAATGCATCAAACATTGATATTGACAACAGAAATCAAGATTGCCATATCGCCACAGTTCACCTGAGTATGAACTTGACAGGGGTGATGGATGTTTTCTAAGGGCAGCTATTAAAAAGGAACTATTTCTGGCCTTCTCCTCTGGTTATGTTTGGTGGGTGGGGTTGTTCATAATGCTAGATACAAATCTATAATTGAAAACTGTGAGTAAGGACACCTGCCTGGGGCTGCAGGACAAGTAGATCTAGCTGACCCTGTTATTTCAGGGTGATTGATACCTCCAGAATGTGATGTCTCTATTAGTGTGAATAGTCACCTCCTCCTGTAAACAACAAGAAGGCAGGATGGAAGACGCAAGGGGGGTCAGCTCTTTTCACTTTTTCTTTGTAAAATAGATTCAAGTCTGTGAAAAAGACAGTTTGAGTCTACGGGTCAAAACTCATATAACATCTTTGATAGCTTTTGATGTTATAATACTACTCAAAAGAAGTTCAAAAATTCACAATTTTTCTTGTTGCTATAGTTACTCTGTCATGGATGGTGGGTATTGCAACACAGCCTTTCAATTGTGGGTGTTCTTTTGCTCCTTTCAGTGCTTGACACTGACCCAAATTTGTCAGTGGTCCAAAGTACCAGCACCAACAAGACACAATGGTGCTTAGAGTTTAGAGCACCAACCAGACACAATGGTGCTTAGAGTTTAGAGCACCAACCAGACACAATGGTGCTTAGAGTTTAGACTTGATTTATCGTTGATTTAAGAAGTCATACAAACTTAAATTACTTTATTCGTCCCCAACATAACACTAGATCACCGGACCACCATTTATTTAATTTTATTGGTCCTTAAACATATTTACTAGACACTGACCAGCGGACCAGTGTTAGTGTCGCGCAGTGTCTTTTAAGTAGTATACATGAGCTATTAGGGCCTGAGGTTATTAGACTGAAAGAGATTTTACTAGACTCGTCTTTGGACTAGTTGCTTAAGTTCTGGGCTAAGATTACGATGCACAGTGTGATAAAGCATTGAAGTCAACGAAAGGGCCCTTTTTCACTGTGAAACATTAAAAATTCTTTGTGAAGCTTTTGAGATCAAATACTTTCAAAACATGTCTTTTTCCTTGTTAGGTTTTAGTTTTCGTAACTGCTTCAACCTGGAAATATTTGTTTCTGAAAGGTATCGGTTGGTCTTGGGTCAGTTAAGGACAATAGGATAAGTCAGGCTTTATACTTGATGTGTTACCATGATTACCATATTTCTGGTATTAAACGCCTGGGTGTCTGTCAATTTCATGCAAGCCGTTCTATTAGAGACCAAGTGTCTATTCTGTTTATTGCTGGCACAGTGGCTTTCTCAGGTCTAGATTCATATTTTGGTCCTGTGTCGTTTCACTCTTGGAACATTTAAAGACAGCAATGGTATGACTTTGTTGGCAAAATGGGTCCTACCATCATTTTAATTAAGAATTTCATCATTATTAATTTATGCTATATCTGCATTGTATAATGTACACAGACTTAGACTTTTAAGACTTAAATTCTGTTCTTGTCTTTGCCTAACTGGTGTTGGCACTCAAGATTTGTCTGAAATTTGAATAAAATTGATTGAAACGAGACATTTATTTTCAGATATGAGACCAGATATTCAGGAAGTTTCAAGCCTTTTAAAAAGTGTTTATGCCCTATGAAATATAACAATTCACACAAAATTGTTGCAAGTTAAATATTGTGATATGTATCGTATCATAAACAAAGTATTACAATATGTATTGTATAGGGAGATAGTATTGTGACATCCCTTATGTTCAGGTATTGATACATATTTTGTGTATCTCCATAAGGTATGTGCAATCATGATTTGTTTATAATCAGGTTAATTGGTTTGTTCCTTTACCATCAAGCAGTCATTGATTGTTATGGGTTTCTGATGGTTTGTGTGTTCAGTAGGGCTGTTACGATTCACTAGCGTATTCGGTGAATCGAACCGTATCCATTCATGAATTCAATTCGTTACTCGTGGTCACTAGAATCAAATATTTATGAATATCCAGCATGTACATTTACATATCCTGACCCTTAAAATATCCATGAGAACATATTATATGCATAGATTTCTTCAAAGACAACACTCTTTTATATTTAATTTGACAGTATTTTAGTCACTAGTCATTGTCACATTTGAGCAGGTACTAGTACCTGGATAAGTACAGTATATAAATGTATAATAAATTATAATTAACAAACCATGTCAAATCATTTATTTTGTTATTATTTCACTGAATATCATAAATAATACATGAACTGCTTTCTTGTTATTGTATTTGTGAAAAAATATTCGTATTCATTACCCTATATTCATGATACAAATCGTATTCCCCTAATAGTGTATTCGTTGCAGCCAGGGTTTTACCAGACGCAAAATATTGCATCCTTCCATGTTCAGCATGTTCAGCGGTTTCAGTCCACTAGTCCTTATAATGATAACATATAGCAAAACTCCTAAAAATGGCAAATATCTACTTGTCCTTATGATACCTTTACTATTGGGCAGTTTGGTAAGGACTACAGGACTAGTGCCAATTTCTAACGCTGTCCTTTATGCATAAAAATGAAGAGATTAGAATGGACACAATTAATATCCACTTTGAGTCCCATTTTATGCAAA